TTCACTGTCTGGTCCACCTGTGCACGCTTTGCAGGCGATCTTGGTCCGTATATACATGCGTATACATCTATGGCCTTTAGAACATGACAAAACATACTGCATTTGAACCATGAATAGTCTAGAAAATCTTCACCAGGCACCCAAACCTGGTCCAGCATTCAGACCCTCAGAATTACTGGACGTCATCTGGAGCGCACCTGCAGAAGCAAGAGCACGCGATCAAAATGGTGGGTTGAGGACTCTGCAATCATGAGCAATATGAATGACAATGATCACTACACTCACTAGAGAATGCACAAAAAAAAAACATTACAGAAATCCTGGCAACTAGAAAATGTCAACTTAATCGCATGTCCTTTCTCTGACGTGACAGCTGTACTAGACTGACGATGATGACGATGTATCCCACCTACCCGCCCAAATTATAACCTTCGTCGTGCCTCCAGAAGATTTCAGTCGCAGCGGCGGGCTGTTGAAAAATGACCGTCGGATTCTGTGCTCAGGCGTTTCAAAGCCATCAGATGCTTGGCTACCAGGACTGACAGCAGGCCCACGCGCCGGCACTGGCGCGGAGACCTTGCTCTCCGGCGTAGTAGCAATTCCACGCGTCGGCCCTGCAGCTTTCTCAGGAGGTCTGCTGGCCTTTACAGGTGCTGCAGGTTCTGATGGCTTTGCCGGCGTTGCCTTTGCCGGCCCTGGCTCGGAGACCTTGCTTTCCGGCGCAGTAGCAATTCCATGCACCGGCTCTGCAGCTTTCTCAGGATGACTGCTGGCCTTTACAGGTGCTGCAGATTCTGATGGCTTTGCCGGCTTTGCCGGCTTGGCCTTTGCCGGCGTTGGCTTTGGCTTTGCCGCCGGCTTTCCCTTGTCGTTCTTTCGCTTTTCCAACCACTGGTCAAGAGGAAGAGGCTTATCCTCAGAGAAACCACCACAGCTATGCGAAAAAAACAATTTCTACAAAATGACATTTTTCAGTGTTACAGTCAACTACCCTCACTACAAAATGATACCACATGTAACTGAAAAGCGGACACGTGCCAACTTGCCAACTGTCCTTTTTTGCTTGACAGTCTCACGCTTCCCTACTGAAAGATATCTCCCCTACTATCATCCATTTGGCCTACATGAAGGCCCCCCCGAATTGCGTCCAGATGCTCAGCAACTGGACCCGGCTTCAAACTTGTCGCTGTAAAAGCCGGTCGTGAATGCATTGTTTTAACCAACAGTGAAACACGGCTCTACAAAAGCTCTTGGTAAACTTGGCTGAATCTGCTAGGTGTTGCCCACCTTGCCAGCCTGTTCTCCCATCCTTCATCGTGATCTTCTTGTGATACTCCTCAGGTTAACCATGTGGCATTTTCTAGTCTAACTCAATCTCTATTTTATATTATCTCATTCATTTTGTAGTCAGCACACCTTGTGCTGCCAGGCATCTTTCTTTAACTTCCTCCGTGCTTGGCGTCTGCGAAAACGAGCCTGCAGAAGCACATGCATTCAACTGTATTACTGTATTTTGTCATGTGTATATTGAATTAAATTGATATAATACAAGCCTAGTCGACTTGACCCTAGTACCTAGAAATAATCAATACGCGTCCATCAACATGGCCTTGAACTTCTGTCTGTCTGCTTTCCGCATCTTTCTTGCCAAGTCGGCAACCGTCCTCAAGCCATGTCCACAGTCTGCTTAAGACATTTGGTAAACGTTCTCCGGAAGCATCGGACTTCAAAATGGTCATACATCTGGGTTACGGACGCCATATCGGATCTCAAATGAGTGCACTTCAGCATATCATGCTGAAAGAATGCCATCCATGTCACGGTCAACAGCCTGCAATCCACAGGCTAACAGTGTTCGTGTGTAATGATAATCTGATACACTTGCTTCCTTCCAAAGGCAACCAAGTGGCAGGCCCATCTGCGCAATCACAGATACCATTTCCGGCTGCTTGTATGCCCAGCTTCCGCTTGGCTGCTCGATCAATGTGTGGAAAGACCGATGGACCTTGCCCATGACGTGGAGAAAGGATGCCTGGGATGATTGTGTTTGGGTTTTTACTCATTTTCTAGTAACCTCATAGTGCATAAATCCTTGGCCTTGCCATTTTCTAGTAGCATAAAAGGTACGCCACTGTCACCACAGCTGTATAAAACTATGTTCAAAACTGTTCAAATCATTTTCCGGTGACAAAGTTCACCCAAATACGTCGGGCAAGTCTGACCTTGAAGTTGCTTAAGTCGCCCAGGACGTTGTCATTGCTTCTGCGATGAACGCTTGCACATGCTGGTCCGTACATTGAGCATGGCGGTGCTGCGCATATGAGGGCGGAATCCGTGAGCCTGGGAATGGCACGGAATTGTTCACTGCTAGTGATATAATGTGATATAATGTGATAAACAAACAGCACCAGTGGAGTCGAGATACGAAAGCCCAAGCTTAATCAATTCCATGAAGCCGGTCTGGCTGCATATATCATGCTTCTTGTTGCTCTTGATATCGTAGCTGGCTGCATTGAATCCTTCAGCTTCCCATGCCTTGCTGATTTGTTTGGACGCACCAAACAAATCAAGAACCTGATAGACTCTCTTGGTTTGAGTCATCATAGCTTGCGCAATCTCAATGACCTCCAGCATGGACTCCTCTGGTTTGAACCACCTGCATTCCAATTCAAAAAAACATATGTCTACAGATTGCGCTCATGTGACCACAAAGAGCTTTGTCTGGACATGAGATTTGCATTTTCTAGTGATGCAACTGCGGAAACTACAGTCGAAATAGGTTGGTGCCTGCATTCTTGAGTCACAGAAGTGGTATCGTCTTTGATGGATGGCAGGCAACCAGCTTCTCCATGAAGGCAACAGAAGGCCCACCAAGCCAAGACCCAGCGGAATCCCATGAAGGAAAAACTACTCCAAACAATGTCCAGTAGAGCCGACACTTCTGCGCAAACAAATTCGATCAAAGTCGCAAGACCTGTTCATCCAACCAATATCTCCCCTCATTTTCTAGACCAATCTCCTACACAGCTACTCCCTACAAGTGTCATTTTGTAGCCATGATTCTTGCTTTGGCTTGTCCTTGCTGATCGCAAGGCTCTTCACCCACGTTTCTTCTTTCCTGAGTGCAACATGGAATCCATGTGTCCTGCAGTTGGTTGCTTCTTCGGAACAGTTCATTTCCATGTTGGTTTACTTTTTGTCAGACCAGGCTCTCGTCCCAGAACACATGGTGGTGTGATTTCCGTCCACTGCTTCCCACCATCTTGCAGACGGTAACTTGGATCAGCTCGGGCTGGCCACAAGATACAACAAAAAATCTATGGACATTCTCTGCTTTATTCTTTTTTGGACAAGGTACTCCAACAATGTCTGGCTGCATCCCACTGTGGGTTCTCCATCTCTGCAGCGCACATTCCAACACCACATATCTTGGGAGCACCGGCTGGAGCCATCTTCTTGGCTCCCTGCCCTGGCATCTATCTGATTTACCCTTCTTGATCCTTCTTGCCAAAATGGCTGCGTCGAAAATATGATTCTCCAAACATACTGCTACTACAAAATGACAACTTCTTTGTGACAAACATCTCTCCCTAGGGCCCAAACCTACTACAAAATGTATGGTCCAACAGCGCCACCATCATTCACACCATGAATGAACATTACTACAAAATGCATTTCCACCTCAACTTCTGTGACCAAGAAAAATATTGGTTTACTAGAAAATGACCCCCCGCAGAAAATTTCCACTAGAGAATGCCGTTTTCTAATGGCCTTGAGGCCCATCATTCTCTAAGGGAAATTCCTACGGGGATAAGTATGTACTTATTGGCGTTGTGTGTCTCGTGGAGCATAAGGATTGGAGAACATGGTCATAGGTGATGGTGAGGTGGGCCTATAGCCCGTGGTGACATGTCGGAACCTAGGTGTCCTGGTGCTGGAAGCGTCGGGTGAAGGTAGGGTAGACGGCCTCCATCCTAATAGCAAACTATACTAGACCTTTCTTCCTTTTCTTTTTCTATGTTTCTAATGGCCATCGCCTCCATCCTAATAGCAATGGCCTCCAACCCACCCACAAGGATCCATAAGGTTTGCTGCAAGAGCTGCAGCTGCTTGGGATGGGGACTCGCCTGGATGTGATGATCTTCCCGAGTGATCCAGTGATCCCCACCAGGTCCCCGCCCGGCCCTGACACTCTCTGCACCACGGAACTATTCTTGTTCCAAATGCCTCGATCGAGCGGAGGAGACTTGCGTTTTGGCCAGTGAGCCCTTGTGTACAAACCAAATGCCATAGCTTGAAACTGTGGTCATTCTGTCGAGCCACAGCTGTTTCTGTTGGGGTGATGCCTTGAATTTTTGCTTGGACCATCCCTTCTCTCAACCTCCATAAATAGCTTGCAAGCACCACAGCAAACTTGCAGCCAACAAACACAAGTCTCAAACTATATCAAACTGTTTCTATGTGATTTGTACTGAATATATCATATCTGTACAACCCGAATTTCCATGCTTAAGTTTGGTTTTCAGCACGGACGACTTCCAGGGCACCCTGCTTCCAAAGGCTGGTGCATCATCCTGCCAATCAAATTGCAGCTCACTCCACGTCTGAAAGATTACGATCTTCAAGGGTTGGCGCTGCCCGGTGGAGCTATAATTCTAGACTTGCTCTGAAGCCTGACAGAATCTGACAGACACGTCCACCAATTTTTCACTTACTTACATAGATAACCCTGCTAGAACTGCTATAGGGAATGGTATCATTTTGGCATGGTCGTGTCAAGTGGAGTTCTTATATAATGTTGCATTCACATGACTAGCCTTAAGTACTGATGAATGGTGAAATTTGACTTGCTTATACTCACTGACCAATGCTTGTTGTGCCAAGGAGCAGAAACAACAAAATAGTTACAAAGGATTCAAAGCATTGGACATCAGGATTCAACAAGCTTGCACTGGACCACAGGAGCTCCTGGTCAAGCTTGCTTCAGTCTCTGGAGATGAACCCACATTGGCACAAAGGTAAAAAAGAACTCAACTCCAGCCTTGTTAGGTGCAGCCAGATCAGTCGCCGCGACCTGTGGATGTATCTAGGTGATGGTATCTGTTATCTTATCTAGACAAAATGATCCAAAGTGCAAAGAAATCAACACAAACACAAACAAACTGTACAACTGCCAAAAAGGAAACACCATCTGGTCACTTTAATCTTGGAGCACATTGCCAACCTCGGGGTGGTCAAGGCCGTTGACAGCGACAGCTTGCTTTGCCTGCCAGCAGTGAGCACATGTGCCGCAATGCCACAAAAAATAGACATGCATTATGCTCACCGACAAAAGCATCCGAGACACCTGCTGGAGAACTTTGACTTTGACATTGGAATTTTGTTGTGAAATTCAAGACTTTCTGCACAATCAAAGATCAGCACATGTCCACCGTCGAAGATCTTGACTAGGTGGCCTCATCAGCATCTTTGGGAGTTTCCTTCACCTGATTCACTTGGCATGCAAAGGCTGTGTGGGTACTTGCACGTCAATATAGTGACCGCTTTTGTAGCAAAGAACAACGACCCCGTTTTGCGTCTAGTCAATAACTCTTTTGGAAATCCATCATTCATTGTGTTGCTTGCATCGTTTTCCTCATGCTGTATGCAGAATGCATTCATGTCAACTAATTTGCTCGTATAATATATATATATGGGGCCTCGTATATATATATATATGTGTGTGTGCACAAGAACAAAACTACATCATACATACTCTTAGAAATTGATCTTCATGCCTATGAAAATGGGAGATGTCAAGCTTTTGCAGGAAACTCTTCTGTTGCTGAGGCCTCCTTCACCTGCACATAACTCCGATGATGTCAAAAACGCAGAGGTAAACATGACAGAAGTGGAGTCGAATTCAAACCCGGCCAATTGACTCAATGCGAAATCCAAGCCCTTGCCTTTCAAGAGCAATGTTTACTCGTATCAGTAAAACACCACAAAGGCTGCAAGAGCCCTGGAAAATGATGAAGCCCATCTGTGAGGTCCATCTTTTGTTCCCAGCATGCGACTCGCTCGCCTCAGAATGATAGCCGTTGACAACTTCCTTGGCCAAGGCCTCGTGACAACGTCAAGTTTCCCGTTACATCCCATGGGTTTGGTTCAATATCACGGTATAGTATAAAGGGGCAAAAACTGTCTCTTTTACAGAGGCCTTACCTTACCTTCCCTTGTCCCATCTCCATTTTCTTCCTTTATTAATGATCCTTTATGTCCTTATTAAGGTGCACGTGCCCTTGTACAACCTGGACTCCCCGACACCCTCCTTGGAGAACCACCTCCCGGACCTGGTCACGCATCAAGTGGGTGGACAGAATCACCTACAAGTAGCCAAGGCTATTGGAGATCTTCATCTGCCGCCAGAACATGCCAGAACCAACAACCTCGGATTCATAGGGGTGAACTAACAAGGCAGTAGCAACATGTAGCAACCCTAGCCCTCAGCAGAGGACCAACTCCGAGTCTCCTGGCCTTGAGTTGCCAAGAAATCATCAGTTCTTGCCGCCTGAGCATGGCACGTTGGTGTGTCTGCTTAGGCACGAGACAGTGCGAGTTGTGGTTAGGCAAGTAGCCCATATGTCGGTGACGAGTAGAGGTGCAAGCTGTGAAACTGATTGTTGTTGTCCTTGTCGTATATGCTGGCATTCGACATACGCATCTCTCATCTGTGCAAAGAACCACAGGTTCCAACCTGAGGCCCCCTGCTTGCGGGAGAATTTGGCCATGGGTGAGCCTTGGGTCCAACACTGATGACAAAACACAAATCACTTGGAGTGCACAAACAAGCTCGTAAAGTGATACAGTAGATGTTGCTGAATCTGTGGCCCAGTTCGCCAACATCTAAATATATATATATATATATATTTGTGTACTGTGTACATAATTACATATACACTAAACAAAAAGAGAGGCAGAATGATTGTCAGTGATACAGTAGAGATTCACCTTGATGCGGACAAGAGCACCTCCAAGTCATCCGCTGATCTGCTTTTTCTCTTGGCAAGCGGGAACGGGCTTGTTAGTTCTTGCCACTGGGCCTAATTACTTGGGATGAAAAGCAGGCTTAATAATACTGTTCCCAAGTAGGTCATCTTGAGGGTAAAACCCATCTTGGGCTTTTTCATCAGGATGAAACCCTTTTTGCAATCTTGAGGGGGATTGGATTTACCCAGGCGCGCTCCTCAAATCCTGTGGAAAACACCAAGACCCACGCTGGCGTTCGCCACGGCTTTTGGCCTCAGGTGTTGGTCTCACCAAAAGAGTGGCGATGCAGGGAGTTCTCCCCAATTGCCAGCAACTCTTTTATTTGGGTCAAAAATCATCTGCACCCCCGTTCTTGGTAACATGTCCGACATGTCCCCTGCATCATTCAATATATTCAATACAGTCAAACTGCAAAAAATAAAAATTCAGTGAGGTGAGCCGGGGTGCACTGGCAAGAACAAACCTAGAGAGTGATGTCCTCAGTCTCTTGCAGAGGGAAGCATTGCCACTCTGCTGTGCCCAGGCTCAGCCGCACCTGGTGCAGCAAAAATATGCCCAAATGGTGCCCAGCTCAG